AGATAAATAGATAGATAGATAGATAAATAGATAGATAGATAGATAATATTGCTTTCCCCCTGCCCTCTAGCGCCACCTGCTGTTTCCATCGGCTTATTGAAGATGACTGAAGTAAACCGGAAAACATCAGGCAGCAGTGGATAAGAGGGATTTCGCCTTTCAAAACAAAACAACGTCACATTTGAACGAACAACTCGGTGACTTTGTTTTCGACGCCAAACACGTGTGGATCTGAGTCCGGACACGGACACGTTTTTATAGAGAGACGACTTTAGGCAAACGACTAATGCCAGTGCGCGTGACGACTCAGCGCGAGTTTAACTTTGAAAAACCTGAACCGGAACATGGCGCGTCTGACGGATCCGGGTTAGCTTGATGCTAGCTCCTGTTGTGTGAGCTGTCAGCCACGTCACCTCCTCTGGAAACACTTTCCTCTGAGGCTCCTGCTCACACTCAGCTGAGAAACCTCCACACTTTTACTTTTACTCACTTTTGCATCCAGAGAGTCGAGGTCAGCGCTGCTGGACCAACCGGAAGTCTTGTTAGCCTGTTAGCTAGTCTTGTTTTTGAGGCTAACTAACTCTGCCCTGTCTCCCGGGGACGTGTCAGGCCTGTTGTTGTTGTTGTTGTTGTTGTTGTATCCAGACTCTCGTTGTTGTTGTTGTTGTTGAAGCACAACGTTAACAACATGAACATCTTTCGTCTGGCGGGTGACACATCACATCTGGCGGCCATCATCATCCTGCTCCTGAAGATATGGAGGTCCAGGTCCTGTGCAGGTAGACTCACACTCCACACAGCAACACCAGCACTGCTCTGCAAACTACAGGAGACTTGTTCTGGCTCTGACTGCGTCACACCACACATGCACCACTGCACAGAGACAGTTTTGCACTTTACAAACCTGCTGCACATGTCAGATGTGTGTGTTGTTTGGTGTTTACACGATGCTGTGTTCTGCAGGAGTGGACGCGACGTGGCAAGGGTAACTAAACAATCTGCTGCCTGCTCCACCTCTCACACATCAGGCCACATCTTTAAAACAAACTCAGTCTACACCTCTGCTGCTTTCTTCCCTTATTCAGCCAAGAAACTGTCCAGGAGCAGTGAATGAACCATCATCTGCATACGATGGTCGATATGATTAATAATCTCAGTGGAATGATATCTCTCTTTTTCTTCTTTAGGCATCTCTGGGAAGTCTCAGGTGCTGTTTGCGCTTGTCTTCACCACCAGGTACCTCGACTTATTCACCGTCTTCATTTCTCCTTACAACACGGTCATGAAGGTAAGTGAAGTAACACACACACACACACACGTTTCCTGTCCTTAACACAACCCCAGTGAAAACCTAAACTTCCTCCTGCTGAGTGTGGCTACATATCTGAGTGATTGATTTTGTTCTCATGTGCCTAATGAACCGGTTTGTAAATCAAAGGCTGAGTGAGACACTCGCCAGGATTTGTGGTTATCGGTTTTGTGAGTTTTCAGTTATATGAAGGTGGCTCACTTCTTACTGAGTTAAATCGCCACAGTAACTTATGCTGAAGCGTTATCCTGCTCTGGAGCAGGTTAACTTTGAGATAACGAATCATAACGTCCAAACTGTTGAACACTCAGATCGCTGGAAAACCTGAGTCATCGCTCTACAGGATCCTAACAGGGACAAATGAGTCTAGGCTCCAGTAAAGAGAGAAGTACTAGTGTCAGCAGATTAAAATAAACAGAGGTTAGCTGGATAACCACTGTGGTTTCATCCATGTTCAAATACAATAACTTGACACTGGTCTCAGGTGGTGTTCCTGTCGATGTCCTATGCTACCGTGTACCTGATCTACATGCGCTTCAGGAACACATTCGACTCGGAAAATGACACGTTCCGCATAGAGTTCCTGTTGGTGCCCGTCATCGGACTGTCCTTCTTGGAGAACTACGCCTTCACCCCGATGGAGGTAAATAATCACTCTGACGCTCTTTTCAATTCTGCTGAATCAACAGTCATATCTTCATTTTTATTTGTAGCTGCAGGGATTTGTTATTATTCATTGTTATTATTTATATATATATTTATATATATATATATAATAATTAATAATATATATATATATTTATATATATATATATATATACCACTTGTCATCTTTTTTCATAATGTCTCCACTGAAAGATTGATTACAGTAAAACTCTCTCCCTCCTGCTGCTTCCACCCAGATCCTCTGGACCTTCTCCATCTTCCTGGAGGCGGTGGCCATAATGCCCCAGCTCTTCATGATCACCAAAACTGGCGAGGCGGAGTCCATCACCACACACTATCTGTTCTTCCTGGGCCTCTATCGAGCCCTCTACATAGCCAACTGGGTGTGGCGTTACCACACGGAGGGCTTCTTTGACCAGATCGCAGTGGTGTCTGGCGTCGTGCAGACCATCTTCTTCTGCGATTTCTTCTACCTCTACGTCACAAGGGGTGAGTAGAGATATCTGTGAAGGGAAATTCAGCTTTCACATCAATTTCTGTTGATATAATTAGCTGTAAATAAGTTGTATTATTGTAATTATGTTTATTTTCCTCATCTGTGGAGGTGCAGTTAACAGGGATTTTGACTTTTGCTTAATTTTTACATATAGAAAATAATCAATCAAATAGTTTCTAACCCAAAAAACCCAAACCATCATTTTATAACTATGTGTAGAAGACTTTAATACACAGAGGCCTGCAAATGTACTAAGTTGATTTTTTGAGTTATAATGTGTGAATAGCATCGTCTGTCTACTGTGAGGTGTGAAGTAATTATCCTGCTTTTCTAGTTGAGGAAGTTTTGTATCATTGTACACAGTACATAAGGGAAGAATCCTGTCAGGTGAGTGTGAATAGTGTTTGTTAACTGAGGACAAACAGGAACTTACATTTTTAAATCAAGCTCTAACACATTGTCCTCTTTTTCTTTCCTCCTGCCTGTGCGCAGTACTTCGAGGAAGAGGGAAGATGAGCCTGCCGATGCCCATTTAAAACAAATACTATTGGCGAACCACCCATCTGTGCCTGCGACCGCTCCGCATTTCAACACAGACCCGGCCCTTCAACTGTACACGTGTTTATTATAAGGGAGCTAAAGGTCTGCTTTCATTCTCTAGACCAAAACAAGTGCAACTCTTGAAATTAAATTTCTGTCTGACTGGTAGTTTGAGTCTATGTGTTTGCGAATGTGAGCTTGCGAGTGCGTGTTTGTGCATAACTGTATTTTTGTTTGTTTTTATAAGATGCAAATGAGACACTTGAAATGTGTCCCTGAAACGAGTAACACTATGGAAACTGTGTGTTTGTCTTTAGTTTCCCATCAGCAGAGAGATAATCCACAAAGAAATGTGCCTGAAAGTTGCTGTTGCCTTTTTGTACAGCTCTCCGATTCAGATTGTGTGCAGCTTTAGTTTCCACACAGTGTAGCTACAGATCCAGTGCTTCCTGTTATTGTAGCTGTTAGAGAACCCACATATTTCTAGTCACCTCTGGTCTTTCCTGATGATACAGTAATTACAAATATTATCATATTTGTGAATGTGTAATATTCAACAAAGTGTCTTCCTCTTTGATTCTGGTGATGACACACTCTAAACCTACCATGATGTTTTTATTTCCTTATTGCCAATCATGTTAACTTTGAATATTTCCTCTTTGTCATCGTCGTCTTTTTGTAAGAAACATGTCCAATATATTCATGGGAGAAAAAAGTAAGGCTAAATTCTTTTGTAATTTTTCCTAAATGGAACCAAAGATGGAACAAACAGCTGCTGAAACGCTTGAGGAAAACAAATGTTGTGGTCCTCCCCCCCGGGTCAGTTCTTTAACTGTCTTGTGTTGAGGGTAAACATGGCATCAAAGCGTTTTTTAATTTCTGTAAAATGTCTGTAAAACATGTTACTGACAGAGAGGTGAATTGCACACGATTATGGTATATGCATTGACATTTCTTTTATTATAACATATGACTTCAGTCAACTCAAAGGTGTGGTGTTCTTCTTTGTTCCCAATCCACAAGGACTGAAACATACCAGGATGTTTTCCTTTGTGTACACTCCCCCAAAACACACACACATACATACACACACACACACACACACACACACACACACACACACACACACACACACACACACACATACATACACCTGCATTGACAGTGTGGTCTGAAAGTGCTGGTGCACTCTGTCAGTGTTAATTACAGATAGAATGTGTGAATGAGTGAGTTGTTCTCCTCTGGGCTGAATAAAGACCAGAACTCCACCACATTTGAATGCAGTAAAGTTTCCCTTAGTGCAGTAAAGTTTCCCTCAGTGCAGTAAAGTTTCCCTCAGTGCAGCAAAGTTTTTCGATGCTTGTACAACACTTTACTCCCCTCCCTCACAGCCCCTCCCACCACTTTCGCGGCAGAGCTGATGGAGAGCGGCGACGCTGCCAGAGCGGCTGCCCTCTCCACCACCTTCACCTTCGTCACAGCTTTCCCTTTCCCTTTGTCCTTCCCCATGATTCCTGCCCCCTCTGCTGCACCCTTCCCCACCGCAGTCAGCAGCTCGCACCAGAAAAGGCCCTCCGCCCTCTTCCTGGCCTCTTCCTCCTCCCTCCTCCTCCTCCTCTCTAACTCTGGTCCCTGCTCCTCCTTGACCTCAGCTAACTTCTGAGGGGACTCCGGGTTTTGTCCCAGAATCCTCTCTTGTGCCTCCTTGATCACCCTCTCGGCCTCCCGAAACATCTCGTTGCTGTAGCAACCGCCTCCATTGCCCTCCACCATCTTGTCCACCTTCTTCAGCAGCTGCTCGACTTGTGGCGTCCACTCTGTTGTCTTGTCCCGCTCGCTGTTATCAAAGACATGATACCCTCCATGGCAGCTGCTGACAAACTCCAGCAGCTCCTTGCTCTCCTCCAGGAAGTCCCCGGTGTGTTTGCCCTGCAGCTTGTCTCCCCAGGTGAACAGCACCATGGTGAACCTGCGGACTTCAGGCCCAAATGTAGCCTTGATCCACTCCAGCGTTTCCCTTTCCTCTTTTGTGAACCTGCAGGGCTGCAGCGTTACTAAGAAGGCATGGGGTCCCGGAGAGGACAGGGTGACACACCGCCCCACCTCTGCCATGACCACCTGAGGTGGCAGCTGTGTGTGGAAGAACCCCGGGGTGTCAATCACAGAGACGCTGCGCCCGTTCACTGTCCCAGTCTCCTTCTTGCATTGCGTGGTCACAGAAGAGGGGGAGACGTCCGCCCTGAAAGCCGACCTGCCCAGGATGGCGTTGCCCGAGGAACTTCGGCCTGTTCCCGTCCTCCCCAGCAGGACGAGCCTCAGGGGTTCGGACTCTGGTGCTGGGGATGATGCTGCACAGACTGTGGAGCGAGTAAAGTCTCAGTACATGAACATACCTTATCTTAAGAATGCCCAGAGACAACACTTTTAAATTTGGCACATTTAGTCTCACGGTTTAACTGATTATAGTTGGGTGGTCAAAGGTCATAGATCCAGGTCACTGTGACCTCACACAACATCAACATTTCAAGTCTTCATCTTTACAATTTGATCAGTTGTCACTTGGACTTAAAGAATAGATTTCAGTGGTCAAAGGTCACGTGACCTCATGTGAGTCTGGACACAACTGCGGTGAAGTAATTTCAGTTTTATTATTTATTATCTTCACTGGCAAATATTTAAAGTATGCATAGATTTAAGATTATTGTCTTTTCAAGGTTTACAATGATTATTATCACATTTGATATTTGGGCTATTTTATCAATTTCACATCTTTTTGGACTACAGGCTGTTTAGTTTGAATCATGTCTTGTAGTTGTCATCAGTCCAGTCTTCATGACTGTGATAACAGTAAATCCACATACCTTCATGTGACGCAGCATTTTCAGAGGATGACATCACAACAGACGAGCTGTGATGAAAACACAAACCTTCGTCCTGACGCGGATTCCACGACTGTAAAATATCTCGTGAGTTCTCAGATGCACTTTTTCCTTTGACTTGTCTTTTTTAATCTATTTCCACCAAACCGCTGGAAGCAGCTGCGCATCTGTCGCAGTCCTGTGATGAGAGAGAGAGATGCTCCACTCCGCCTCCCACACTGCAACACCAAATCATTTATTATTAAGTCGACACTGGTTTCTACACCAGAGACGAACTGTGCACTCACATGTTTCCACTGTGAGTCCGGATAATCACGCGGTGGTACGTCCTGCTATAATAGAAAAGAATTCGCTGTTGCAGTTTCCAGTCTGGCCGCTGACAGGCGGTATGATCTCGTATCTGGGTGCCGCGGTGTTTAATGAACAGGATACAAAATCAATTAATCAATTAAAAACTCACAGAGTGTCAGCTTTTCAGTTATTCTTTATTACCAGCCCCAAAATGCAGCAATGTGCTCCATGCTGTAGTGAGTGTGATGGATCTTCAAGTGATAGAACTGCCATTATAAAGCTCTACTGGACTGAACATTAGAATAGATCAGCTACAGGTCCAGACCACATATAATATTATTAGTGGAGTAATGGTGCCTTTCTTTTCTAACTGTCCACGTCCATTTTCAGATCAGTGACGATGACTTAGCTGAGGTTGTGTCCACTCAAACCCTTTATCAAGACGGTTACACACAGAGAAACACAAGCACACTGTCCAAACACGTGACACATGCTCAGAAACTCACAAAACAGGAACCACCTGCAACAAAAGCAAATATCAAACATCACAACTTGTGGTCAAATGAATATTTCCCTTCAATCGATTGTTACACAGTGAACAACAAAATACAAAACACAGCATCAACATGAAGCAGTTCAGACTCATTTGTGCTACACGTCTGTTCCATGTTTCACCATCATAGCTTGAGCCAAAGAAGCACAAGAGACATATTATATGACTTCAGATGTAACCCTGCTGCTCTGTAGCTGCATGTTCTACACAGTTTTGAGAGCATCTCTTGAAAACAGTATAGTTTTATTATTAAGTTTTATTTATTTCAATCTTGTCCGCAGGTCATTATGTGTCCATGAACTGTCTTTGAGCTTCCACACCAGGAGTCTTCAACGTTTTTCAGGCCAGGGACATCTTTACTGACAGAGGGACAGAGCAGGGACCCCCTACTACATGCATAATAAAAAAATCTATCTAACGTTACTGTATTACGTAACTCACTAGTTCATCGTCATGTTTATGTGCAGGATTGAGTCTGCCTGCACATGAAAAAGTATTAACGTGTAGTCTCTCGTCAAGTTGTGTAAATTATAGTTTTCAAAGAAAATTAATTTTTGCGAATGTTTGATTCATTTTATGTTTTTTATTTTATTTTTATATTTTGATGAATTAATTAGGAATGATGAATTGATTGGACAGTACCTCTGAGGACCCCTGGAGGTCACTGAATCCCTGTGTAGGATCCCTAATCTAGAAAAGACTGTATACATGATGTAGGTTAAATAATTGTGGACTTTGAATATGGTTCAGCTTTTGTGCTGCATTAATTCATTTTGATCCATGTTTGCGAAGAGCAACACAGACGTGGCATCTTTTAAAACAGGTGGATACAGACTGACTGAAGATTTGTGCAAAGGAGCCTCACACAGTTCCATTAGAGATTCATACAGCTGTGAACAGATGTTTTCCTTTTGTTTAGCTCAGGTAAACAAAGATGTTTTGGGTCTTTGCATGAGATCTGTGTTAAGTGTTTTGAAAGAGGGTGCAAAAAATGTTCGAACCCAATAAAAAAAAGTGTAAAAAGAAAACTTCTGCTGAGCTAGGAAGGTGATGAGGATCAAGTCAATCCCACGTTCATTACGGCTACAGCCACACTACCACGTTTTATTTATAGTAGCAGTATGGATGAAATGACTGAAAAGACCCAATCAGCAGATACGTCTACGTCATCGTAGAAACATCTTTGTTTCTGCCCTCTCTTACGCAGCCTCAGAGCATTTAAACTAAAAAGGTTGCAGCAGTGTTTCCAAACTTCTCTGTTTTGGAGGCTCTTAACCTCCGGAGTAGTGTGGACGCCAGGTGTAACTGTAGCAGGGTGCTCAAAAGAAAACCTTGTAGTATGGATGTAGCCTAAAGGGGCCTCAGCAATCAAGGAAAACTGTAACTGATCCAAAGTCATTTCCAAACCTAAAACTTTTCTCTATGAACCATTGGCGTGCAGCCCACTGTGGTTTCAAAATCACACAAGTTCTAAGTAGTTCTGTTTGATGAGTCGATATCAGGATGAACTGTTGGAGGGTCTGTCCCACTCCACCTGGTTTCTCACTGGAAAGCTCGCTACCTCGCTGGGAACCTTCTGCGTCTCTGAATGCTCTGGAGAAAAGTCCCAGCTCGAAACAGGCACGTCACCACCGGTGGCGCTGAACATGGCGTGAGAAGCCAACGCGTCTTGTCCTTGTGACGCCATATTCTTACTGTGTGTCTCACTCCTGCTGCTGTTGTTACAGTGCAGGTTGTGTTGTGAGAGACTCCCATCTCCACTGATCAAGCAGGAGTGACCCAAGTTGAACAGCGTGTTGTTTTCATCGATCCCCAGCCCAAAGCTCTCCAGCATGTCCATGACTGATGGTGTGGGCGGACCACTGGGCGTCTCCTCCTCGATAAGACTCAGCGTTGGCAGGATGTCCACTAACTCCGCCATCTCCATCGGTCGGATTACCTCAGTGATGCTGGAAGGAAAATCCTGTTCATTGTTGTAGGCCTCCTGCGCGTCCAGAACTGTGAACCCTACGTCCATCTGTGCGACGGCACCAGGCTCTAGTCCAGATTCGATTAAAGTGGTTGCACATATTTCAGACGGGCCAATGCTTGTCAAGTCCACAGTTGACTGGGCGGTGATGTCCACAGGGTAACCTCCCTTTGCCACGCCCTCCGTTGACGCCAGTGTGGTGAATTCTCCAGGAGCGACCATGATTCCTGCCGGAGGGGAGACCTCGGCAGTGACGACATTGGGTGGAGTCGAACACACTAAACTCTCTGAAAGGGAAACGTGAAAATAGTCTTTGATTTAAAGCATCATTCAGACGAAGCTAAAGCATTTGTTTTTACAGTTTCTCATGTAGAGGATGGTCAAACACAGACATTCTCTAGATTTACATCCCGCAGCAGGAGATTATACGATTTAATGTTTGCCCGACTTGCAATTGACTAAGACTTGCTTATCTACGCCCACACCACCATCGTACCTGTGTTGGCTCTCTGCACTTGCATCCGATTGGGCCACGTCAGTCTGGTGGTCAAACTCTCCTCCTCTTCCTCATCATCAGGACGTGGCGGTGGGTCTCCGCCCATCACCAGACCCAGAGGCACTGCCCCCACCCACTGCTTGGACCGAACGCACTGTAGACAGTCCATGATCCAGCGGGCGTCTCTCCACACCACATCCAGACGCTGACCAAACAAGAAAACACAGGGCAACAGAAGAAATGAAAGGTCTTTAGGTGTGATATTGAAAATATTATGGGAGGCACAGTGATTGGTCATCCTAGTTAAAGCCTTATCTCTTCTTAATCTCCATCACTGAGGCTTCATGAATCAGAAAGGAAGAGATGTGGTGAAAGACAAGCAGACAAACACATTCATGTTCTCACATGGGAAAGCTCGGTGATGCGGTTCAGCCTCTCTCGGGCCTCCTGCACCTCCTTGGTGTCCAGCGCCTCCCGCAGAGCCTGCTGGGCCAGATGTGTGTCCAGCTCCAGCCTCACCCAGGCCTGGCAGTACTGGGACAGGAAGTCGCGTTCGTACGTCCAGAAGTGAACTGGGAGAGGGAAAGATGATCAAACTATGGAGTCACACCGTACTAACAGATCCTGGGATGTTTTTTGTTGGGTTTTCTCTGTTGACTACGGTTGTTTGTCCTACCGAGCTCAAAGATCTGCAGAGGCATGGTGAGGCCGGGCTCCTTGGTGCCCACCAGAGGCCAGTAGCTGGAGCTGAAGTCCTCACTGGGAGGCAGCAGCAGCAGCACGGACAGTTTGTCTCCAAACTGCAGCAGCTCGCGAGTGTACACGCCGTACTGGTACGCCTGTCGGGGACACGGCACAATCATTTTAGAAAGTGTTAAGGAGAATGTTTAAGGCGGCTTGAGGGGATTTTTTACCCTGTAGAGGGGGATGTTGAGCTTCGTCAGGAGATGTGTGATGGCTGCTCTCAGGGACCGGACAAACTCCACCAGCCCGCTGTTCTCCATCAAGCTTTCGTCTTCGCCGCTCAACAGGTTCTGATTGCTGCCATTGGTCGTGGTGTAAACATGACTCTGGAGCCACGCCCACTCGTCTCTGTTGCACAACAATGCAGCAAATTGAACATCACTATGAAAATCATGATCAGACCAGAGGTGGGACAATCCTGAGACAATCCTAAGATTAAGATTAAGATAGGTATAAAAAATCTGTATTCTGCCATCTGGTTTTGTTGGATGAATTTCCTTCTTACTCTCAGACAGTAATTGAAAATAAAATTCAATGTTTATATTCAAATGTACAAATAGCTGTTATCTTTACCCTGCAATGGGCCCATTATCTTTAAATACTTTATATTTACCTCACTACGGAGGCCACCATGTTTTTTAACAGTGGCCCAGACTGGACAAACTAAACCTTTTGAGTTTTGAGGTGAGGGGTATTCAGCTGCAACATGCAACTTCACCACTTGATGTCACTAAATCCTTCACGCTGAACCTTAAAGCTACAAGTGGGGGCCGCTGTCTTCCTTTGTTATTCCCAAACTACTATAAATATCGTTTTTAAAGCATGCAAGTTTTTCTGCACCCCTGGTACAAGATGCTTTGCTTGTTAAAGATAAAAGTATGATTTGCACAATTCAATATTTAGGACTCATGTGGTTCCTCAGATCGAATCAGCAGTGGTTGTGTTACCTGGACACGTGGGCGTTGTGTCGGACCCGTGTGTGGCAGAGCAGATTGGGCAGCCTCTGAGGCACCAGGACTCGGATCTGTTCTACTGAGCTGCACAGTTTCAGAATGCCCACGTACAGACCCGGCTGTGCCCACTGAATGCTGTGCCTGTGGAGGGACAGCTTCTCCTGCACAACAGAGAGAATCAGTTGTTGGTGACTTCATCTTGTTTATTTTTTTATTTTTGGGCTCATTAATTCATGTGCATTTCTGGGGGTTGTTTGAAAACCTCGCTGAATGATAAAATGGTTAAAGCGAAAAAACACTCAAACAAAATGAATTCAGTGTATAATGTATTCTGCTGCACATAGCAGTGTGTCTGTGATGTTAGATGTTGTGTCTCTCTTTCTACACACACACAAACACAAATAAATATCCAGCTTCACCCTGAGCTGTTCAAAGAGCATGTCCATGGCGGTGGGCTCAGGCAGGAGAGGAGTTCTGCTGCGGTTCTTTTCCAGACGGGTCAAGGGCATCCAGTGGAGCGGAGGGTCAGGAGGGCTTTGAGTGAAACAGAGAGTTTGAGTAAGAATCAAACGCACCCAAATGAGACCACCAATGAAAAACTGTTGAAACCCCCAACCAACTGGTAAACAAGCCTGGTGCCCGATTGGGTTGTTATCACCCTTGGACACGGGAGATGGTGAAAAATCAGTCTGGTAGATATTGAAAATGTTTGATTTATTTTTAATGAAGCGGTTTTCAGAAACGATTTTGCTGCGGAGATCACATATTTTTGTTTACAGCACATCGACCCTGCTGTCAGCCGTTATCACCAAACGCTCTCTTGACATGTGAAGATATTTGTGTTGTATTTGTTTGTCTGTCACGTGTCTGAATCGAGAATCTCCTGACATTCTCCCAGAGCATGTCTGAAAGCAGCTAAAGCAGCATGACTGCAGGAAGCTGAATGATGATTGAATGATGGAGACTGTCCTCTAAACAGAAATCCTCTGCTCCATGTGGAGGAAATAAAAGCTGAGAGATTAACAGAATGAACCTAAAGGCTCTGTCTCACCTGGGAAGACTGGGGAACTCTTTCAGAGTCACCAGGAGTACGTTGCCCTGTCGGTCTTTGACTGGTTCGTAGTGCACCTGGCCCAGGTCCATCGTTCCCAGGGAAGACTGATGGTAAAGAAAGGTGGGGTGAGGAGGTGAAACAGAAGCATGGGCATGAATAAATGAATAAATATGAGGATAACAGGGATTTATGCAGGAAATCTCAGGTTGTGGGGGCACAGGTTTGGAGCCAGAGATAGAGAGTCGAGGCAGCAGTAGGGAGAACAGGAGGAAGAAGTGATGTAAAGAGGTAATTAAAATAGCAATTAACCCATTGTAATAATTCTTATCATGGAGAGTAAGCCGCTTAACTTCCTACCTGCAGCTGGGAAACAGCTCTTAAAATGTTGTGCCTGTTCTGGAGGAGGGAGGAGGAGGATGAGTGTGCAGAGAAAAGAGCCTGCTGGAGCCAGGGCACTTGTTGCCACGCACAGGACAACTGCAAGAGAAAAACTACGATCAGCCTTCATGGTTTCGATGCTTCCACCAACCAACACACAGTTTACATCGATTTTAAACTGTGGTTTACATTTAGAACAGTATTAACTGTGTGTGTGTGTGGCTCTAGCTACAAACAGTTCACCTTAGCAAACCACAGGAAGTCGTGGGTGATGGAGGTGGAGCAGCACTGGATCTCCACCAGCGGGATTTGATCTTCAGCTGTCACCAGGATGTTTTCCTTGTGGTAGAACACAGTTGCCAAATACACGCCCCTATTCCAATCAACATGGGGGAGAGCAAACACACAGATGAAATAAAACAGGTCATTCTATATTCTGATGAACATGATTCTGCTGCCATGTTGATCTTCTGAAAGACTTTCTGAACATTTGATTTCAGTTTTTGGACTCATTTCTCCTCATGTTTGGACTTTGGTTTTGAATACTTGGATTTTTGGATTCGTCTCTGTGACGACTGTGACATCCACAACGATGAATAGTTTCCCAGGCAACACCATCTGAGAATATCGCTGCTGGTTAAATGCATCGTGCTGGATAGTCTCCGCCCTTTAAGTGATGCTGGTGAAAACATGACCTCCTTCGTTATAACGTCAACTACTTCAACTACTTGTTTTAAAGCATTGCTGTAGTTCCCTGCTGTCCCATTTATCTAGTGTTAGCTGCCAAGTGTGGTCCACTGAAAGTAAGGGACAGTTAAGTCTTGACCAGTCAGTTGCGACTCATCATCATCATCCATCTTGCTGCTGCGGCAACTTCAATTCCACTTCTGCTCTTTTTCAATAGGCTTAACAGACTTAAAGTTTGGACTCACTTCACTGCTGTAATCACATCAAATTGAATGCCCCTAACTCCCCCAAACCCTCATGGCACATTTGAATAGGTGAAACAGATGGAGCGCTACCTTTGTAGGAGGCGAACAAACTTGGTGGCAGACTGGAATAGTTGTTTGATGCCTCGAGACACAGACAGACGCTTGCTGGGACTCTGGGGCTTCGAACTCTCTGTGGAGAGAAGGAGAGGAGGATCACATGGGGTGAGAATCACTTTATCTGCCAAAATATATTCACAGCACACGCAGGGGGTGAAAAGGTTTTCTCTCTATGGTGAAAAGAGTTGACACAGAGAGCACATGGGTATAAAGTAAAGTAGGAGATAAATGCAGTAATATGAGCGTATTAGAAACATCACAACAAATATGCTGCAATGTTCCTGATATTCATTGTGTTTTCTGACATTTCAGCGTATTCATTTATGCAAGTAAAGACAAAACACACAAGTACGTCTTCAAATACAAGCCATTCACACTTTGAAGCTCAACTGACTTTTATCATTTAATGCATTTCTTCCCAGAAACTTGAGATAGGCTCGGGGCAAAGTGAGAGGAGAGGAGTAATAGATTTTCATACTAAAACTAAGACAGATTCTATTCTATTCAATGATAGATAAATATATATTACAGGATTAAAAAATGGATTAAAAACCTTTTGTGTTAATTTCACTGAGATTTTACTCATTGACAGCAAATATTGTGAAACTATGACAATAAAAAATATTAATATATACGGTATAAAGTCTTATGGACCCATCAGAACCTAGATATAAGTGGTTTTTGTGTTAGGGTTAGTGTTACCTATGCAGTATCCTCTGTATTGTGGCTCTTTGGCATCTTCCAGCAGTTTCCTCACTAGGCCCTCGTGGTTTCTTAACTGTGACTTCACACCAGTGCACTCCCTCCAGCCTGCAGCGCAAGCAAGAGAGAAATCGTTACTTTCATTTTCTTTCAATTAAGCAAAATCATCCAAGACATTAAGAACTCGTCTGCAGGCGAGTCCTGAGTACTACCTTTCCAAATCCAAGAGACTGTCTGCTTTTACATGCATTTCCAGTTAGATTTAGTTATTTTAAGTGAGTGCAACATGCAGAACATCACAAATTTCACTGCTGTGGTTCAATTCTGACTGTTTCCACTTCTTTGAATGTTTTTTGTCTCCAATTTAAAAAAAAAAAACGAGACATGTCTTTCAGCAATTCACAGTATAAAGAGGATAGTAATGCAATAATAATAAAAGAGACATGTAGTTTACAACTTTACATCTGTTTCTCTCTACATATATATTATATTTGTTAGTATGTTTGTTAAGTTTCAACCAAGTCTCTCGATGTGAAGTACGTCGAGTTCCTATGAATGAAATGTGCAATATAAATGAAATTACCATCATAAAAGTTGCCATGTAAGAAAGATTATGAGCTGAATTCAAACTCTGAGTGGCATGGATACAAGGCCCACCGACTCCCAATGCCACCTTTAATATTTCATTAATCTACCAGCCATGAGTGGAATCACATCAAGCTTGATGTCAGCCAAATGATTTCATGACACAGGGACAGAGAGAACAAAGACCGGAGCCCCTTCGCGGTGGAAACTCCACATTCATCCAAGTTTGCAGTTCAGTATACTCACTGGAGGGGGCAGCGCTGACTGGAGTAGAGCACTGAGGCGGACCCCATCCTTTCACATTGTGGGCACTCACTCTTACAAAGTAATGCACTCCCTGCGTTTAGAGAAGCACCAGACCGCCAAATTATTACCATGCATTAACCTTATGAATCCTCCGTTCCGGGACAAAAAAAAAATCACACACTGCTCTCATTATTAATTCATCTGGTTAAGTTGAGGGGGACAAGTGTCCTCACATTGGAAGTGGTTCAGCACAGTGGATGATGATTGGAGAGAGATAAATACAGTGTGTGTGTGTGTGTGTGTATTATAGAGTATGTGTCTGCATAATTACATGTCACTAAACTATTTAAATATATGTTTGTATATCTGTGTGTGTGTTTGCAGTTAGAATATGTGGATACCCTGCTGTTCGCTTGCCTGTGTGTGTGAGTGTGTGTGTGTGTGTGTGT